GCTTGAGCCCAGGAGTTGGAGGTTGCTGTGAGCTGTGATGCCACAGCACTCTACCCAGGGGGACAGCTTGAGGCTCTGTCTCAAAAAATAAAAATAAAAAAGCATGGGCTGATGGCAGGAGGAAGCTTTAGGTCCCCTTATACACTCTGAAAATGCTACAAAAAACACCTCCACTAAGGCTGGAGGAATGGGGATGGGGACAGTTAAGGAAGTGCTAACTTGCTCAATAGATTCAGCCTGTTTGGCTCTGTCTGCCTGAAAGGTGTTTTTTGACTTTTTTGACTTGGAGTTAATATGAGTGAAGATAAGAGTAGACTCTAGGTAAAGACAGTTATGTACCTAAGGGGGTTCAAGGAAAAATCAATTTAGGTTTTACATTAAACATCCTTTGAGTTATCATAAAATAGGATTTTAGTGCCTCCCAATGGCTGGATGAGTTCCACACACAGTTACAGCCACTGGGTTGTGAGACAGAGGACATTTGAACAGTCTTTTCTTCTACCCATCCTGAAAAGCACCTCTTTTATTACAACTTTTTATGCATCTATTTTTACATATCATATGCACATCTGTTATTGAAATCTAGAGCAGAGGTACTCTGTCTCGACGGTATAAATGATCACATGAGACACGGATTGACAGTACATGCTGCAACAGGTGAGGCTAACCATAGGTGCAGGATAGCACCGAGCCCTTCTCACAGAGTCTTTCTATTGAGAAGATACATAATAGGTGGAAAGATTACTAAGCAAAGACATATAGGGGCTGTGTGCTCAGGGAAATGATCTCATATGGGTAAACAAAAGATGGTAAAAGTTACATACACAAGGAAATGATTTTTAAAAAGACTACACGTAATTTATTTTAAATTGCTTGCTGTTTAATATCAGCCTTACTACCACAGGATTGATCTTTGCTCCTCTGGGGTTACTGAGTTACTTGGTGGCTTGCCTTCAAGTGATAAAGAGATTTTCAGGCTTGCCAGGAGAATGTCTTACTCTTAGCAATTTCTCCGATGAGTTATGAGATTGATGGTTGCAGTAAGTATGATTTTTAATCCTCTACAACATTCAAAGTTTGGTTTGTGGACTATTCCCAGTTCTCCTGTTGTTAATGGTTCACAGTGAGATACGCATAGAAGTCAAAAAGCAAGGGTTTAGGCTCGGCGCC